CTGCAGAGGCCCCGGCCCCTAGACCGTGGTGGAGGTTACCCTCGAGGCACACTATATGAGAGACCTGCTTCATACCGAGAGTGTCGATCCAAGATGCTGAGTTCATAGCAGCTAGAGTTCGACGCTGTTCATCAGTATCGCCTGATGTGATAGCAAGCTTGGTGCCCTCAATCACACTCCACACTCTCTCGTCCTGAGACCCTGGGTAGGTCTCCGACCGTCTATCGATGGCATATGCCTCTAGGAAGTGATGGGCCACCAGAGGGAGCCCAAGACGACGTGCTGCCTGTGACATACGAATCTGAAGCCAATTCCAGTGAAAGCCGTTGAAGCTAGGGCTGGAGGGCTCACATTAGACCAGGCCGAATCTTGAACGTATGAGGAGTGGACAGGCTGGAGTCCTTGGTTGCCACGTACTGATGCAACATCAGGAGGCAGATTCGCTTCCGAGGGGTCCACGTCTCTGCTAACAGACATCAATCACTTGGACGATACTCCGAGGCACTCTACCTGCACAACCGCTTGGCGAGATGGAAAGCAAATTGCCTCCATGTGAAGATCTCTCCCCAAACGCTCATGGGCTCAGCTCGAGACGGCACTCGATTACGCCAAATCTGGAGTTCTCCACTTAGATCTGGCACGAGGCAGATCTTGCTGGATCCCGCCTTAGCCTGAACCCCCGTTGACGTGAGGTGCGGCAGGCTCATAGCAATGACCTGAGCCAAGATGACAAGCCACAGTGATGCTGGTCACTCACATTGCGGAGTTGTTCAAGCATATGGGATGCCTCCTGCAACTCTATGAACTGCTGGAGCCTCAGGAAGAGGTCTTTACTTTGGTCCAAACCGATCGAGAACGGCATCGTCGGAGCTATAGTGCGGCTACTACATGCACTGAGGCAACCTCCCACTTCTAAGAACGCACAAAAACAGTCCACAGTGAGTCGGACAAGTAGTAATCTACTTACTGCTAATCCACATATTGAGCAACTGGTTCCAAACTCTCTGACTCGTCTGTTCCACATCGAGTAGCAACTCACTTTTCCTCTTCTGACCCTCAGGACCCGCGAGATTATCATATTGGCTCTGGGCGAAGTAGGCGGAGCAAAGCTTCATTTGTGGATAGCTAGTCCAGTCATATTTGCTAACGCTATCCTGGATAGTCCTCCAATCTTGAATTCGTGATGACATTTCCAACTCCAATAACGGGCGGTCTCCGAATATACACGACTCCTCGCCTCTGCCATTCACACTCCACCAGCTGAGCTCTCTTGTGCATGCCACCCAAGCCGTCGTAGCAGCCTTCACAGTCTCATCGTCAACTCGAGTCTGGCCAGGATATTGCTGCTGTTGAGAGAGCCAAGATTCCACCATACTCTGGGCATCAACCCAGTGACCTTGCAGTAGCAATGTGTCGGCCTGGAGTACCGCGTCTTCTACACCCATTGCTCGGCGAGCCCATAGCTCCGTCTCTGGATCTCCCGTGAGACGGCATAGGTCCAAGATAGCCCACCAAGCTTCCATCGCGGTAGCATCATCATTGCCAACGGCCATCTGCTGCAGTGCGTCGGATGCCAGAGACCAGCAGCGGTGATCACAGGCACACTGTATAAGTATGATAGGGTCTATCCCATCGCAACCCTCACATTCATTGAGGCCGGCAAGGAGGGTTTGAGGCACGCTTGGGTTGAGGGCACTTTGACGGCCAATCAACGTGACTTCCTTCAGCAAGTACTGGCATGCTCGGACCGCTCTGTTTGAGGCCAGTTGAGAAAAGACCTGGATCCACACCTCATGGGCCACGTCCACCGAACCATTATAGGCCTCGTGAACGAGCATCAGCCTCTCTCGGGGGTCCTC